CCATATTGTTGAATGTTCCAGTAGGCGTCACAATGGTGGGTGTTATATTAGGCTCAACACCGTTGAATGTTTCAGTAATTTCCATGTTACTAGACGTTCCAGTAGATTCTACAATGACGGCATCTTTGTGCGTGACTGTTAGATCAAGAGGTGAGGTTATCCCAATTTTTGATTCCGATAATGGTGTCAGGGTACATTTTTCAGGAAGACCTTTCTCCTTAGCAAATAAACTGTCCGAAGCTGTAAAACTGCATGATAGATTGGATCGTGTGACCTCATCTGATATTCCATATGTTGCCTTATCGGTCATGATTCTTCCTCTTTCATTTTTATGTAGACCTATCGAATTCCTGATTTCATCAGGAAAAATGACTTCAGAATACTGACTTGCATTTTCGTTGTTTAATTTATAACATGTACATATATGCATGTCATCTTCGTAATTATTAGTGGTCGTTTTATAGCTGAGGTCTAGGAGATCCATGGTTATCGAAGACTCAAAATTAACTGAATTATTACAGCTACAATAACCTTCATCGATCAAATCAATGAACCGGCAATCTATTCAACAGGGGTGATACTATAATAATATGTATAAAGAGTTTTACTCTTTTATTGTGGTACGGTACTCAGCCAACTATATCGAATTATTATTGTTGATGATGATATAAAAAATGCACAATAAACTATTCTACTGTACCGCTGTGAATCAGATCTGAAATGTTTTCACAAAGGTTGTCAAAAATGGTTAAAGTGATCACCCGACCACAGGCAGTACAAATCTTAATAATATAGTGGAAATATCAAAGAAACAGCAACAACAATGTGCAAATAGCTGTAGAACTATGTTTTCAAAAGCCGTTTTATAGTGTGTGTGTACCCTGGCACCAAGGGACACAATACGCAATACCTGACTTTTAAAATTAAATTAGAATGAATTGAAAAGATTTGAGTCTATTCACATGGCTTATTGTTGTGAAGAAATTGAGCACTAAACCTGCAGTGAAGCAGATCTGAAAAGTATTCCTGATGTACGTATTTGAAGTAAATCCCTGCACTATACAAAAAAAACAAACAAAAGAATAGAGTTAAGCAAAGTTAAAAATATCAAACAAAGACGTGCGTGCATAGATTTCAATTGCTTTGAAAACAAGATTTCAAAAGCATATGTAGTGCATCGTACTCTGCTGTGTAACTTGACCTAAATTCTCAATACAGCGTTTATTATTCACGAAATCCGAAATTTTCCATATGCACTTTTATAAAAGCAGGAGCCTTTAACTCTTAAACTTTCATGTAGTTCGCCCGTTTATAACTAGAGTAGGTCAAAAATTATTAAGATTTTTAAGTCGTGTGCTTGCTTTGACTATGAAGATGTCTTCCAGGCTATCGTTTTCTCTGTAGTTAATCAAATTAATGTTCCCATAATTATACAAATACAGGTCTTCCTGTAATTAAAGACCACCTCTGATTAAAGACCACTTTTCTGTGGTCCTAATTTTAAAAAATGTCTTATTTATATTATTATAGATCAAAGCTGCTTAAAGACCATGGTAACCCCGGTCTCCCAAGTGGTCTTTATTTGGAGGGAGACTTGTACAACAAACAACTATATAACGTCAACATAGGTGTACTGTAACACATTCATTCACCATAGTACTTGCAAAATTTACGTCAACGTTACAGGGGTTTTGTCAGGCATCCTTGAGCCGGACGTTGACGATGTCTGTCCAGAATCTGTATTTAGATTGGTCTGTCAACCTAGCATCTAAGACTTTTATCTTAACATATTACAATGAAGTATTAGTTTAATATAATTGACCACTGAATTATCGTCACTAAAATGTAAGCTTATGGTATAGCTATGTGTTTATGGTGTTGGGTGAATATATATTTACCAAAGAAAAAAAATTGTAACATTTTGAGGGTTGGTTGGAACAACGGAGCATTTGGTAAAAGCACAAAACGCCTATCTGTATATACACATGGATGAAGAGAGGTATTATGCCCCACAACAACTTTTTGAATTACATTACAATGTATTTTTAAAAAGTTCTTTTTATATTAGGTATTTATGTAGTCGGTAGTGGTGTCTGGTCACAATGTAGGCCTATATAAGAAGCATCAACATAATCATTACCATCATCTACTGTGGGAGCCGTGGAGATTCGGGCTCTAACATAATACGTTCGAACTCTTGATGTAAAATTCGCTTTGTTTTGGGCCTTTTTGTTTGGTTAGACATGGTGGTCAGATAAGCGTACACTTTTCTAGTGTGGTAAGCGTGTCAAAAAGTGAAAAAGCAATCGAATTGTTTTTGAGATGTTCACAGAACGAATTTTATTTCCTATTGTGTCAATTTTGTTGATGGAATTACTAAGATCTTCCAATGTCCATCACCACCACCATTATCATAATTATCCATATCATTAACAATAACATTAACGTCAATAGCACCGTTGTCATCATCATCATCACCGCCACAGTATCAGGTTTTATTTATTTAATTATGCATAAAGCACCTCATTCAGGCATTGACACAATGCCCTATAAAACACGTTCTATGTACAGCATATGAAACCAGGTAGCGAGTCCAACAGAAAGTAAATATACTTCGTATGCTGGCCCTGCAGTATCTACTTAATTAAGAAAAGACAATTATCAGAAAATCATCAAAATCAAGCATCATTTAGGAGAGCTGAAGAAAATAATATTTGGAAGAAGCTTTATATGAAAAGAGAGAGTTAAATTTACAAAATTCTTCTGGTAAGCCGTTCCAGATTTCGGAACCGCAATAAAAAATAATATTTTGTCTGAAGGAGAGTCTAGCGAATGAAGTTTGTTAACCGTCTTTTGTTATAATTATGAACAGAGACAAACTATTCGGCATATTGTCGTTCAAAAATTTAAACATAAAAATTGTACATAGGTAAAAGGTCAACTTAAAAAAGAAGCAGTGTGCGTGCGGTACTCAACGTCAGACAATGAGTGGACTCCACGTTTGTTACCCCAAGCCATGATGCCGTAGTTTAAGTGAAAGAATTAAGCTGGTGTAAATAAGTTTAAGAACATCAATCGGAATTGATAACGTAGTTTATGAATAACTTCTGCATTTCGGGAAATTGTTTTGCAACGATGTGTTCAGTCCAAGCTAGACGACCGTCAATAATTAGGCCAAGAAATTTGACACGATTTGATTTTTGACACGGCGAGGTCCATGTTGTTGAACTGAAGTTTTAGTAATAACGCAACTATTACTTAGAAACTTAAAATTGGTTTCAAAATGTTAAGTAAAATCGGTTGGCGAAAATACAGTTGTGAAGAGTTTGAGTTCGTTGTTAATAGTGTGAAGGAGTATGGGTTTGAATAAAAAAGATATGCCATTAACATAGACATAGGCCTACTATTGACGGTCAGTCAAGTAGCCCCTGAACCACTCCAAGGCCGTACCTCCAATCCCGATATGGGACAACTTTATGTAAAAGCCCGGTTTCTATAGAATCGCTATAGTCGCTATAGCGTTTTCACTGCAATCTTTGCACTGCGTAGATGTCCCCGACTCAATCGGGAATGCTCCCCTCCCCGAACAACTGATCAGCGTCGAAGGAGTGGGCGATTTGTAGCAAAATTTATTGAAACCAGGGTTAAAAGTAAGTCGTGATCAATGTAACGAAGGCCTTGTAGTAGTCCAGGAACATCCAGACTGTGTGTTGACGCATATCCAGTACAGTGGTGACCTAATTGTGAACTAGTTACAGGATCATGGGTGGTAGAGTGATTTTCCTGAACCCGAACTGAGTGTTGGAAAGGATATTGCAGGAATTAATAAAATGTATTACGATTGTTTGATTTGTTCAAGAATTTTGGGAAAAAAGCATCAGAAGAGAAATATACCGCGATTTGGGAGATAATTAAACAAATCTAACGGGTCACCCTTGTTTTTAAAAGACGGGTACGGACCTTCGCAGTTTTCATTGCATCTGGGACAACACCAGTGCTGATGGAAATATTCATAATATGGGTTAGCGGATCTTTAATTAAGTCAATAGTGGGAATACAATTTAGGATATTGTCAGGTCCTGTACTTGTGTGAAGTTTCAGTCCCAAAGCCGGGCACTCCCTGCGCCCGACGGTCGCCAACTGACGCGATTCTATGAAGAACGCAACACGACGACGGGCGCGCAACGGATCGTTTTTAATGACGATCTGTCAGACTGCCACCGACAATCGACAAACAGCATCACGTCGTCTAGCGCTGAAAGGGAGCGGAGTTGAATTCGTCGTGCGACGTGCGTGCCCAGCGTTACAATCACATAATTACGCTTTTTTCTCAATAATGATTCGAAACCTACAGTGACAAGTCTGAAAAAAACTATAACGACATAGATCAAAGTTTCGATCTCGGAAGTGAATGACCACATGTGATGATGTTACGTCCTTATCCGCATTCCCTAGTCGTGTCCGTTTTTCGGTTGTATATGAAACGCCAAAATAGCAAATGTTAACGTACGTACTTCCGCATTCCCTAACCGTGTGTCAGTCAGTGTTGTTTTGAGGTTTTATATGGAACGCCAAAAGGGCAGCTTTCAAATACAGTCGGTTTTCAGGCACAGTCGGTTAACAAACACAGTCGAGTTTCGTCAAGCACAGTCGGTTTTCGATTTCACAATGAGTCCAGTAAAACTGTGCCCCCGACCAAAATATGTGTATTGTAGGCCTACCGTACATAATCATGTTAATTTTAATGCAACCAAAAACGATTTCTAAAGAAAATGATGGTGAGAGATATTTCCCCAATTAACTTATTGTTGTTTCATCTCAGTGGTTAGTATTTCTATATTTATGAAAAAGTGATATGAAACTGCTATGTGCCTAAACTCAACGTTAATTGTTTAAGTCCATGAAGCATGCTTTGTAAATCATAAAACATAATCTTACCACTGCATTTCTGACATTACACGTAACTAAAGAAATATCTCAACGAGATAACATGCAACCTATCTTCTTTTAGTGCCATGTTTTACTCTTTATCGAAACTAATCGTGACGTTCACATACTAGAGGGAAGCGAGCAAACCCTCTAGTTTATTTAATTATACCGGTACCTGTAACACCTTATCGATACTGAGTGGATTACGAAAAATGGAACAATTCTATACATTTATATTAAAACGAATATTTCAGGTCACATTTGATCGTATTACCGTATATTTATGTGCTGTTATGTAAGTACGACTATCGTCAGCTAAAGTAATACTGTAATGAATATTGTATTCTATAAAATATATAGTTTTATTTATACATTTAAATTTGTGGACTAAAGTGTCTTATCTTATCCAACGGATTATTGGTATATTCAAATATTCAACAATTGCTGTAAAAAGCCGACCAACATGACGTGTTGCTGATAAATTAAAACGTACGGAATATGCCTTTGGCGCAAAGCACTGTATTCTTTGTGTAGTTCCTTATCGACAAATTCAACTTAGCATCCATATTCTGTAAAAAAAATGATAATAGGCCTTTTAGAACAATAATCTTTTGACCCTTTATGTGTACCTTCACCAACCACAGAAGAATATAATACAGTAATCGGTATAGTCTATATCATTGACACAATGCCATATGAAACAAGAAGTTCGATGTACATGAATGTTTTTGAAGCTTTGTTGGGTGCTCCTTCTTCATTTGTACATATTATCCCGACCTTTTGTAAACACAGCCATTTTGGTTAAAATGTTAACCGTAGAAACAAACAAGTTACTGTATTGATTGAACTGTATTAATTTTACTATAGGAGTGATGTTTTGCCCTCTGACGTGTTTCGTGTCGAATACTCAGTGGGTTTCTAAATATTTGCGAAATAATTCGCAAGTGATTCGGTGGGAATCGAACCCACGACCTCCAGATAACTAGCCTGGTTACCAGCTTGCGCTTAGTGACTAGCGTTGAATCCGATCCCCGAGTAAGCAGCGGGTACTGCGATTGCTATTTCGATGTGAGTTTGCGTCAGGAAAATATCATAGGAGTGATGTTTTGCCCTGCCTGACGTGTTTTCATACCGAATACTCAGTACGTTCCCGCTTACTCGCAAAAAAAAAATATTGACAAGTCATTCGGGTGGGAATCGAACCCAAAACCTCCAAATAACTAGCCTGGCGCTATAACCTACTATGGGATCGGATTCAACACTAATCACGCAAACTCACATCGAAATAAATAAAAAGCCCTTCCTAGATTTTCGAGATTTGAATCGGTTGGGTTAGGTAAACACGAAGATTTTGTTAGGCCTAATTGGTATTGCGTATCAGAACTTACTGCAGCAAGTTATATTTAAAATTTTCCTTCCACCTTATGTCAATTGTCAAAGTATCATCGTACTGGTAGCATGGCTGAGCGGTCTACAGAATCCCGATATGTTTTTATATTTTTTATTATTTTTCACTATGGTTAAATTTTTTTCTTTTGTTTATTTCTAAAACAGTAAAAAGGTAGTCATGAGATACCGTATCGTGGCTGAGCGGTTTAATGCCCGGGACACAATGCATGATCCGCCGACAAATCTATCTCCGTTCTTATGCAGTGAGCGTTTACGAAGGAAGCAGGTCAACTCGGCCCCAAGTCAACTCGGCTCCAAATCAACTCGGCGCCAAGAAGACAACTCGGCAGCAAGTCAACTCGGCCCCAGTTTTCAGTGTATTTACAAGATTTGAATGCAAAGCAGAACATATACCAGAATTAAAGTGTTTTGAATTGTTGCCTTTGTTTCTCTTTTTCGTTAACATCAACATAACAACAATAACAGCTGAATCTTTTTGAAAAAAGAATTAAAATAATAATAATATAATAAAGGGCCTA